AATAAAGTATTCTGCCATATTTATTGACATTGAACGTCATAGGAAACGCTTTGAATTCATTTTGCCAGCTCAGACATGTAGCGGACCCTAATACATTTCATTTTTTTGCACACTAAATACTAGTTTTTATTCTCTAAAAAGGATCTAGAACACTCAGTGTTTTAAATCTACTTCTCTACATAATAAACTTTCGCAAACATTCTCTGGAACTTCTTTCTAGGTAGCTAAACTTAAGAAAAAAATTCTGAAGAATGCCAAATAAGCACAGCAATTTTCATATAAAAATGTCTTTTAATTTGTTTCTTCATAATTCCATAGACTGTAATTATCATGAGTGGGGATAGATCTGTTGTTTTTCCATTTGTTTAATCATATAGCTAAACAGAATTTGTCAACACCTAAGATTTTACCCAGGATGTTGAATCATTTCCTCCCCTGGTTTAATAATTTCAAATGAATGTAACCCACATGAAGATAAGGCTGCTCACTTTGACAAATTCCTTTAAAATGATCCCTCATTCTATAGGGGTGCCTATATCCTCTCAATATATTTAAGAAGTGAAAGTTTGCTTGACAGACCATCATCAGATAACTCTCACCATTAATCATTCTATGTTTCTAGGACTCTTGGGGGGTCATCAGCCTTTTGCCACTGCAGGCTGGAGCTTGCAATCCAGATGCAACTGAAGCCTAGAAGTTTCTGACCTCTTCCCCTGAGCTGGCAGCTCCCCCACTAACCCTATCCTTCTACAGTGAGGGAAGGACAGATGAGTCAGAGCAGCCAATCAACACGTGAGAAGAGAGCAGCAGAGGGAATAGGCAGCATGGCACGGCTCCATGTCACCAATCCCTCATGCCAGATTGGATCTTTGCGGAATGAATTGGACCACTTTGTGGGACAGATCTAGCTTCTGCATCATGGGTTACCAGGTTCTGCTCTATACAGCTCAAAGTCAGAGAAATTTATGGAGGTGAAGACTGGGCAGTGAAGATGGTAAGGATACCTTGAAAAGCAGAGCGGTTTCTACCACAATTAATGTTTTTCCTTTGTGAGCTTATAGATCAATGGTAAAAATTTGAATTTAGTGGGTGAGTAGATGAGGACAACCTCCAGCACTTTCATAATAATTAGAGTTGAACAAATAGAATCCAATCCTGGTAAGGAATTGTGTGGCCAGGACCTTGTGTCAGATTTCGATAGGGCTCTGCACAGATGTTTCATCTTGAAGAATCAGGGACATAAAACTTATAACAACTAATTGGATTAGTATATTTTCAATCTGTGGTTATGAATGGGTTGTGAGTACCTTACCATTTAAAAAAAAAAAAATTGAAATAAAGAACAGTCATATAAACTGATAAATCATCTGTTTTCAAACACCTTGCAGGAAGATAAGATACCAAATGGCTAATCTTAAGATAAATACAGTAAACTCTCTGGTAACCGGCACCTTACAAGCCAGCATGCTCTGTTAACCAGCATGCCAGCTTGTAAGGAAAAGTGAAACTGGAAGTGCCCACCGTGGCACTTCCGGTTTCTATGAGCCCCCACAGCCTGGGGCAAAGCAGCCTGCGCTGCTGAGCCCCCATGGCCTGGGGGCATAACAGGCTGCATGGGGCTGTGCAGGGCCTGCCTTCCTGTCCCGCTGGGCCCGTGGGAGGGGCGGAGGGACGCGATAGGAGAAGTGGCAGCCGAGGCCGCTCAATTAATCGGCATATTTTGTTATCCGGCATCCCCATTCCCGGGGGATGCTGGATAACAGAGCTTTTACTGTATTTTTCCTCAAATCACCATAACATCTACAGCTTTCTGAATTCAGCATTTTGTACCTGAAACAGAAGTCAGGTTTACATGCATAACATCATTTTATCATTCTAAAGCTGTTGGAGAAAAAACCCTTGCTAAATATATGTATTATATATATTACTGCTATGTAAGACAAACCTTCCTAGCATTCAAAATTTTATAGCAATGACATTCAAACTGAACAAAATGGAAGTAGAAGTTAGAAAATAAATGTGAAGCAATCTTACAAGCATACCTGGGGAAGTAATAAAAATTGAACAATAGTCTTCAGCACAGAAGACAAAAGGATTCTGTTTTGTATCTGAGAAAATGGAGAGTTCATCATCATGGTATATTTAATTCTATGACGTTATTTTCTCTTCAGAACTGTTAAAGAATAGCTGTATTATTTTAGGCCATTCAAGCTACAGCACCACATGATTACCATAAGCTTTGACACAATCAGAAGTCCAAGTCTAAGACCTGGCAAAAGATCTCCATAGAAGCCTATTTTCTATTAACAACATATCTAAATTTACCCAGTGTCTCTTGTTAGGTTAAAAAGGAAAGGTGATATCATTAGAAAGAGGATATTTAATATAACATCTACCTTACTTAAAATAGAACATGCTATTTTGGCACTGACATTTTTCTGGCACCTGCAGGATTTCTATAATGTGCAATTCTCAAAATAGTTAAAAAAAACGTCATATGTAGTAGACATATGTACTAGACAACTCTAACTCAAATATACACAATAGATAAAAAATAGGGGTGTGCAAAGCTTTGGTCACTGATTCGATTCAGAGAAGATTCAGCCCAAGAAGAGAGAGGTTGGGGGGGGGGGGGAACTGACACCTGTAGCTGGCCAGTGACTGTGATCTTTCACTGAGTCCCCTTCCAATCGCAGTGCTCTGGGGGAGGGACGTAGAAACAGCATATAAGTCTCTGCCTGCAGCCATTCTGTCCCTTTTGTGAGCTGTTTCTGTCTGAGCAACAGCATCTGAAAGGTACTACGGGACTGGCTTGGCTTCCTAGTCAGTCTCCTGCTAGTCTCTCTTCTTGAAAAGGATTGGATACAGCATACTAATTACCCTCACCTAGAATCCCTCTACTTATCCCTATCCAATCCATTTCTTTCAACTTATTCGTCCCCCAAAAACCTCTTATTAGTTCTTGTTATGTTTTCCCCCACACTTTAAAAGAAAGCTGTATTTTCCCTGGCAGTATGATCCATCACTGTGCAGGAAAGCACATACATACACATACTCACACACATACAGTCAAGACAACCGAGAAGAAGAGATAGTAGTCAGACACATACAGTAATCAGAGAAGAGGAGGAGATATTAGTTAGCTAAATACAAACACAGAAGAAGAGATATTACAACTGCACACACACACAGACACATTTTCCAGCACAGCAGAGATTAATATGAAGCATGCTGGAAAGGCAGGTGCCAGGTCTTCTGGCAGGGAAGGGAGAGGGGCTAGGGGCAGAGCTGCAAGTTCCATACCCCGCAAACATAGATGCATCCTCTTTCCTGGCAGCGATGAGTCTTCTGCTGCCAGTGGGAGCAAGGAGGTGGGAGCAGTACCTGTCCCTGCACCACCTCCCCTAACACCAGAAGTAGCCACCAGCACCAGCAGGACAGTCCCCTCCACCCCAATTTCATCTCCTAGTGTGAGCGTCCCACTGCCAGAGGAGGAGCTGAATCTGGAAGCAGGGCACCTGAGCGCCCTAGCAAAAGAAATTGTGGGGAATGAGGAGGAATCTGAGTTTGTGCTCCACACCCCTCAAAGTTCCACTAGAGCTAGGTCTCCTTCTCTGGAAGGTATCTCGGAAGAGGTTCAGGTTGAGGTTGTGGAGGCAAGTGGCTCAGCTGAGTCAGCTCCTGCTGTTGTTGTGCCTCAGCCTACTGAGGAAGGGAAAAGGGCAGAATCCCCACGCTCAATTCAGAAGCAGGGGGTACTGTAGTGCAGTGGAATTGTGACGCTTCAGGTAAGCTGAGCCTAGTTGCCTGGGATGCCATCTGTGAGGCATGGGCTTTTGGGTTTAAACTCTTCGTCAGGCTGAGGAAGCATCTAGTTGGTTTGTGTGTGCTGTTCCTGGATGGAAGGAAAAGTAAAGAAACCAGAGGCTGGAATGCAATGCAAGGAAGAAAACCAGTTAGTGAAAATGGAAATGGAGGCATCAGGGGGTGACAGACAGGCTAGGGAAGGGGGATGTAGCAGGTTAAAAGTGGAGAGATACCTGGGGCTACAGTAGGAAAACACCTATTAGATCATCTATTCCATCCTCTGTAAATACAGGGCATGGTCTCCAGAGAGAGGATCTTTCAGACATTAAATAAATACTCTGTGGTTTAAAAACCATGGAAATACTGGCCTGAACTACAATACAAATCTCCAAAATTTAGAAATATAACCCAACTAGAAGCTTTGTTATTAACACACAGTTAAGACTGTGAAGATGTACAAGTTACTTCAACAGAAATTATTTCTGCAACAAGCCTCCAGCACAAAGTTATAGGGGTAAGGCCAAAAGGAAAAAAAAAATCAAAGAACAAAAGAAACAAATACGAATAATGCTTGGAATGGAGGAGATTTTAAGTTAAGGACTCACAATGGAATTTAAGAAGAAACAATAAACATTATTCATCAGCAATATAAATTTTAAAAAGTACAAGAAAAAAAATATTGCTATGTAGGGATGTCAGAAATGTGGTTAGAAATTAAAGATAATCTAATATGCCTCAAGAACTAAACGAGTACTTTGCTTATGATTTCAAAAAGGATAATGTTGCATGATCCTGCACTCAAATTCTGGTTAGGCTAAAGCCAATCTTTCAGAAATGTATACAGTCTTATGTTAATGACTTCAAGTGAGGATGAACTGATATAAATAGTTCTAATAGTGAAATACTCTAAATAAGAAATCTTACCCTGAACAGAATATGAGAATCAGTTTTCTAAATGTACTATTTTAATCATGTATTTTTTTTAAATTATATATTTTCAGCACAACTGTTATTTATCTGTTGCCATTAAGAGCTTAGCTGAACAGTGTTCCTTGAAGTACCAACTCTCAGACTTCTCTGCAAGTCAATGAGGGTTCTTCTTCCTTTATAACACTCATTTGGTTGGCATAGTATCCTACCAGTCTTCCACAAGGCTATTGCCCCTGTTGTCCTAACCACAGAAGAATATTTACCTGTGGGAAGTCCTTTTCCTCTCAGCCTGTCCCGAATGGCCTGGCTCCTGTCTGGCTGTGATTTTCTATCTCCGTTGCAGGAAAGCTGATCCATCTGAAAATGGACAATAACACAGTCACATGTTTTGGAAAGACTGTTTTATAATGAAGGCTGGATGGTTCCAGATAAAAGGTCAGCATGTTTAGTAGGAAATTGGCCCTCTGTGGCAAATACACGTTTAACATAAAAGATTAACAAACATTTATATTGTATTTGGCCTGCTAATTTCAGAATGATTTTTATAAAATAGGATTAACAGAGTTTCCCTAAAGTTTCTTTCAGAAATCCCCTCGCCCCCCTTTATACATTTCACCTTGACAATATTTGTTTGGTACGTTTTAGACAATATGATCTATTATAGACACTATAAATAAAGAATAAACCCACAAGCCTACGAAACAAGCATTTTTTTCATTAAAATAAATTGGAAAGAAAATAACTGAAGTAGCTTTAGGTCAGTGATTCTCTACCTTTTTAGACTCAAGGTACCCCTTGGAAAGTGTCAGCTCTTAGCTTTCACTCAATTTTATAGAAAAATAGAGCAATTCTTCTGTTGCAAAGAACTCAGAAAAAACAGATCAGAATGTTTTTAACACTGTGGATTTCTGCTTGAACTATCTGGATTTATGTTTGCACACCTAACAGTACTAACTTTGTGTGGCACCCCGTTCTTAAAAGGATCTCAAGACATCCTGGTTGAGAATCACTGCTTTAGAGAGTCCACATAAATGCCCAGGGTAAATTTGCCAGGTTCAGTTCTCTACCTATTACTAAAGAAAGCTTTTATGCAAATGTAGAAGTAAATGTAAATTTTGGCTGTTATGCACAGGGAGCTACGCTACTGGGACATATAATATCTTTAAGCGTTTCCCAGTAGCATTTCCTTAATCCATTGGACAGGTCACATTCCAGCTCTTGAAATTAAGTAAGTAACATTTTGTCAGTCATAGGTTTCCACCTTTTAGGCATGAATTCAATCAATTCATCTTACTTGAGGCACGTCTAAACATATAATGCAAAGATAAGGTTACCATATTTCTAGTTCCAAAGAAAAGAACACCTGTCAAGGGGACACCTCACTCCCCACCCACAGCCTCCTGTCCCTGCTGCTGCCCCTCATTCCCGACCCACAGTTCCTCACTCCCCTGGGCTATGCTGGTGACCCTCAGTCCCAACTTGCAGCTCCCTGACCCTACCAGTGCCTCTCACTATCGATCCACAGTCCCCTGGCCCTGCTGGTGCCCTTCACTCCTGACACCCAGACCCCCTAGTA